GGGTCCCAGCCTGCGCTGGTGAGTCATGCATGGCCATGGCACTACCATCACCACTACCACCACCTACTGATGCCTGTGGTCTATCCATGCCAAGTGTAGCCACATCATCCTTACTTTCACTGTCTATTCCTGGTGTAGGGCCACGGGATGTACTCCGGGATGTACTCCATCCCCTGGGTACTGCATAGGGAACACTACCCGAGCGCATGTGGCGGCGTATATACCGATGCTTCACTGGTGAATATGTTTCCTCATTATCACTACTCGAATGATCGGCAAGAGCAATAAAATCACAATCCACATCACTATCATCATCATTACTGAAGTCAGAGGCCTGGCCACGCGAAAATAATAGTTTTCTCTTGCGATGAGGTATAACTGAATGTGACTGAGGCATGCCCACACCAGAGGTAGAAGGTTGAGGATCGTCAGGGTTTTCTGCACTATTATTGATATCCTGGTCATTCCTTTTGGTCACTAACTGATCAGAGTCAGAACTATCAGACAGGAAGAGGAGAGTCCCAGTTTTCCTTGGAGTGACAGCTGCCTTGCAACGAGGCATGGTGAACAAAGGTAACTGAGCCGGCGTTCCCACAATGCTATGTGGGCGCCTAGAATTTTTGTTTACAGTGCACACACACCACGCAGACCTGTTCTCTCGCATGTAGGCCTACCAGCCTTTTCACACTAAATTTGATGCTGTTAGAATTTTTGCGTAGATCTACGGTTTGGACCCTGAACGTAAAGCCGCAGATCTATGGCACAGACCCTGAAAGGGTTAAGGGAAAATACTGTTGTTATGATTCAAGAGAAGCTACTGTTGCTATGATTTAAGGGAAGCTACTGTTGCTATGATTTAAGGGAAGCTACTGTTGTTATGATTCAATGGAAGCTACTGTTGTTATGATTCAAGGGAAGCTACTGTTGTTATGATTCAAGGGAAACTACTGTTGTTATAATTCAAGGGAAACTACTGTTGTTATGATTTAAATGAAGCTACTGTTGTTATGATTCAAAGGAAGCTACTGTTGTTATGATTCAAGGGAAGCTACTGTTGTTATGATTCAAGGGAAGCTACTGTTGTTACGATTCAAGGGAAACTATTGTTGTTATGATTCAAGGGAAACTACTGTTGTTATGATTCAAGGTCCCCTTAAAAATAACTATGGGCATCTTACTGACAAAGAGAATGAAATGTGCTCAATTTTAAATAATTATTTTCTCTCGGTTTTTACACAGGAAGACACCAACAATGTCCCAGTAATTAATTTTTATAGTGGGCCTGAAGAAGATAAATTATGTAACATAACAGTCACTAGTGAAATGGTTATGAAACAAATAGATCGACTGAAGCAAAATAAGTTGCTGGGACCTGATGAGCTTTTTTCAAGGGTTCTTAAGGAATGCAAAATGGAGCTCTGTGAACAATTAACTAATATTTTTAATTTATGTCTTCATTCAAACAGGTGTAGTGTCTGATATGTGGAAGATGGCTAATATAATTCCTATTTTTAAAGCAGGGGACAAGTCGTTACCGTCAAATTACCGCCCAATAAGCCTGACCTCAATTGTAGGCAAATTACTAGAGTCAATTATAGCTGAGATTATAAGAAACCATCTCGATAAGCATAGCTTGATTAATGATACTCAGCATGGATTCACGAGAGGCCATTCTTGTCTAACAAATTCATTAACTTTCTTCAGTAAAGCTTTCGAGGCTGTTGATCAAGATAAAGAATTTGATATTATTTACTTAGATTTTAGTAAGGCTTTTGATAGAGTTCCGCACCAAAGACTGTTAAAGAAAGTGGCAGCTCACGGCACTGGGGGAAAAGTGCTCTCGTGGATCGAGTCATGGCTCACAGACAGGAAGCAGAGTGTCCATAAATGGGGTTAAATCTGAGTGGTGATCTGTAACAAGTGGCATTCCACAGGGATCAGTCTTGGGCCCATTGTTGTTTATAATATATATCAATGATCTTGATGAGGGAATTACTACTGAAATGAGCAAATTCGCCGATGACACAAAGATAGGTAGGATAATTGATTCAAACGTAGATATCAGGGAACTTTAGGAGGATTTAGACAAACTCAATACCTGGTCAGAAAAGTGGCAGATGCAGTTCAATGTAGATAAATGCAAGATTCTGAAGCTCGGGAGTATCCACAACCCTAGCACTTATAAGTTAAATAATGTAGAACTTAGCCATACAGAACACGAAAAGGACTTGGGGGTTATGATAAGCAGAAACCTTAGACTAAGACAGCAATGCCTAAGCATAGTAATAAGGCAAACAGATTACTGGGATTTATATCAAGAAGTGTAAGCAACAGAAGTTCAACGGTTATATTACAGCTTTATACATCATTAGTAAGGCCTCACCTAGATTATGCAGCTCAGTTCTGGTCTCCATATTACAGAATGGACATAAATTCGTTAGAAAACATTCAGTGTAGAATGACTAAATTAATACATAGCATTAGAAATCTTCCTTATGAAGAAAGATTGAAAACCCTTAAATTACATTCACCTGTTAGACGAAGAATGAGGGGAGACATGATCGAAGTGTGTAAGTGGAAGATGGGTATTAATAAAGGGGATATTAATAAGGTCTTCAGAATATCTCTCCAAGAGAGAACCTGCAGTAATGGATTTAACCCTTTCAGGGTCCGTCCCGTAGATCTACGGCTTTACGGTGAGTGTCCAAACCGTAGATCTACGCCATGAGCTCAGCTCACTCTGATAAACTGTGAGTGGTACATTTGGGCCTAGATATGAGAGAATACATCTATGTGGTATGTGTGCACCACATAAAACAGATCCTGCAGCACATTGTGTATAATGAGAGAAAAAACTGAAATCATGATTTTTCGATTAAAACAGCGACTTTGCAGTGTTTTTTCGTATGTTTTTTATAGTTGTATTTGCGATTTCTTGGTCTCATTTGATAGAATGGAAGACATATTACAGAAATAGAGATGATTTTGATTGGTTTTAGCACTGGAAATGGCTTGAAACTGAGCTCAAAGTAGCGGAAATGTTAAATTTTTGCCGATATTCAAGAGTAAACAAACGACCTCACACGTCTAATACACGTCAGCTGGTGGGTCTAATATACATTCACAAATATGGTGATGATATTTATACAATTATTACAGTATTGCATAACAGTAAATCTTCTATTTTTTGGTGTGAATAAAAATTCATTATGTGAATAAAAAAATCAAAATGGAATTTATTTGTAAAGCCTCAAAATGTAACTAATGAACAGAGGAAATGTTAGTTTAGTTCCAGGAATACCTACATTGTTTATTCTGGAGCCTATTTTGAAATTGGAATATTTTGAATTTGTGTTAAATTGGCCAAATTAACAATTTCCGATCACTTTATTTTGTAGTTGAAACAGTTGATTTGGCGATTTCTTGTGCTCAATCGATAGAATAGAAGTAATACTAGTGAAATAGCTAAGAATTTGGTTGATTGGAATAATGTAATTGGCCTAAAATGGGAGTCAAAGTCGGCAAAATCGCCGACTCGTAAATATCGCTGACACATCAAAATTCGCGAGAGCATAATTTCGTCAATTTTCCACCAAATTTCGTACTTTTTGTTTTATTACCTTCACAAAAAGATTCTCTACGATTTCATAAGAAAAAATAACAATTTTTTTTTTTTTAAATTCTTGGACACTGGTGCGTGACTTCAGATTTTGGCTTTGGACCCTGAAAGGGTTAAATTAGACAAGTTTAGATTTAGAAAGGACATAGGAAAGTATTGGTTTGGAAATAGGGTAATTGATGAGTGGAACAGTCTACCTAGTTGGGTTATTGAGGCTAAAACCTTGGGTAGTTTCAAATTTAGGTTGGATAAATGCATGAGTGAGAGTGGTTAGATTTGAGTGGGACTTGCATATGGGTGGATAGAGTTATCAGAGCTTATTTCTTGGGTAGTTTTGAAAATTTGGTTGGGTAAATGTTTTGTTAATGGGATGGATTGTAAAGGACCTGCCTAGTATGGGTCAACAGGCCTGCTGCAGTGTTCCTCCTTTCTTATGTTCTTATGAAACTACTGCTGTTATGATTCAAGGGAAGCTACTGTTGTTATGATTCAAGGGAAGCTACTGTTGTTATGATTCAAGGGAAGCTACTGTTATGATTCAAGGGAAGCTACTGTTGTTATGATTCAAGGGAAGCTACTGTTGTTATGATTCAAGGGAAGCTACTGTTGTTATGATTCAAGGGAAGCTACTGTTGTTATGATTCAAGGGAAGCTACTGTTATGATTCAAGGGAAGCTACTGTTGTTATGATTCAAGGGAAGCTACTGTTGTTATGATTCAAGGGAAGCTACTGTTGTTATGATTCAAGGGAAGCTACTGTTGTTATGATTCAAGGGAAGCTACTGTTGTTATGATTCAAGGGAAGCTACTGTTGTTATGATTCAAGGGAAGCTACTGTTGTTATGATTCAAGGGAAGCTACTGTTGTTATGATTCAAGGGAAGCTACTGTTGTTATGATTCAAGGGAAGCTACTGTTGTTATGATTCATGGGAAGCTACTGTTGTTATGATTCAAGGGAAACTACTGTTGTTATGATTCAAGGGAAGCTACTGTTGTTATGATTCAAGGGAAACTACTGTTGTTATGATTCAAGGGAAGCTACTGTTGTTATGATTCAAGGGAAACTACTGTTGTTATGATTCAAGGGAAGCTACTGTTGTTATGATTCAAGGGAAGCTACTGTTGTTATGATTCAAGGGAAACTACTGTTGTTATGATTCAAGGGAAGCTACTGTTGTTATGATTCAAGGGAAACTACTGTTGTCATGATTCAAGGGAAGCTACTGTTGTTATGATTCAAGGGAAGCTACTGTTGTTATGATTCATGGGAAGCTACTGTTGCCATGATTCACGGGAAGCTTTGTTAAGTCTTGATAAAGCTTCTCTGGAAGTAAAAAAGTGTTAGGATATCTACTTTTTGGCTAACATCATCTTACTTACCTCCAGACTCAGTATTCCAGTAGTAGGTGTAACCTTCAGGGGATTTAGCTTCATACCACTTCTTCTTGACAGGCAATTCAGGGAGCTTAACTTCAACTGCTTTCTTCTTGCCAACAACAATTTCTGCATTACTCGCTGCGGCAACCTCGCTGATCTTAGCTCCCGTCAGGTCAGGGTTAACTTCAATATCATTCTTATAGGCTTTCAAGGCTGCCTATGTTAAAAAAATAATTTACAGTTATAATAACCTTTTTTCTTTTAACTGCACCAGCTGCTTTCTTCCAAAAATCACATTCACCATCATTCCCTTGATGAAAAGATTGAAAAACAGACTGGAAAGCACACATTGATACACAGTTACCTTATCTAAACAAATAAGCAGATTAAATAAAGCAGCAACAGCTAATGGAAGATGTTATTAAGCCTTAAACAGTCCAAACGTATATATACTTGCACAGCGCCCCGAATATTTTGAAAAAAAAGGAGGAGGAGGAGGAGGAGGAGGAGGAGGAGGAGGAGGGGGGAGGAGGAGGAGGGAGGGAGGAGGGAGGGAGGAGGAGGGAGGAGGGGGGAGGGGAGGGGGAGGAGGAGGGAGGGAGGAGGGAGGAGGAGGAGGGAGGAGGGAGGAGGAGGGAGGAGGAGGGGAGGAGGAGGGAGGAGGAGGAGGAGGAGGAGGAGAGGAGGGGAGGAGGAGGAGGGGGAGAGGGAGGAGGGAAGAGGAGGAGGAAGGAGGAGGAGGGAGGAGGAGGAGGGGAGGAGGGAGGAAGGGAGGAGGAGGAGCGAGATGAGGAGGAGGAGGGGGGGATGAGGTGGGGTGAGGGGAGGAGGAAAGGAAGGGGGAGGAGGAGGAAGGAGGAAGAGGGAGGAGGGGAACGAGGAGGAGGGGGAGGAGGGGAGGAGAGGGAGGAAGAGGAGGGGAGGAGGAGGGAGGAGGAGGAGAGGGGGGAGGGGGAGGAGGGGGAGGAGGAGGAGGAGGAGAGGGAGGAGGTGGAGGAGGACGGAGGAGGGGAGAAGGGAGGTAGAGGAAGACCGGGAGGAAGGAGGGGGGGGTGACAGGAGGGAGGAAGGGGGAGAGGAGGAGGGAGGAGGAGAGGAGGAGGAGGAGGAGGGAGGAGGAGGGAGGAGGGGAGGAAGGGAGGAGGAGGGAGGGAGGAGGGGAGGAGGAGGAGGGATAGAGGGAGGAGGAGGGAGGAGGAGGGAGGAGGATGAGGAGGGGGAGGGAGGAGGAGGAGGAGGAGGGGAGGAGGAGGAGGAGGAGAGAGGGAGGAGGGAGGAGGAGGGGGAGGGAGGAGGAGGAGGAGGGAGGAGGAGGGAGGAGGAGGGAGGAGGAGAGAGGAGGAGGAGGAGGAGGAGGAGAGGGGAGGAGGAGGAGGGAGGGAGGAGGGAGAGAGGAGGAGGAGGAGGAGGGAGGAGGAGGAGGAGGAGGAGGAGGAGGAGGAGGAGGAGGAGGGAGAGGAGGAGGGAGGAAGGAGGGGAGTGGAGGGAAGGAGGAGGAGGGGGGAGGAGGAGGGGAGGGGGAGGAGGGGAGGAGGAGGAGGAGGGAGGAGGTGGGAGAGTGGGAGGAGGAGGTGGGAGGAGGAGGTGGAGGAGGAGGAGGAGGAGGAGGAGGAGGGAGGAGGAGGAGGAGGAGGGAGGAGGGGAGGAGGAGGAGTGGAGGGAGGAGGAAGGAGGAGGAGGAGGGAGATGGAGGGGAGGAGGAGGAGGAGGAGGTGGAGGAGGAGGTGGGAGGGGGGAGGTGGAGGAGGAGGTGGGGAGGAGTGGAGGAGGTGGAGGTGGAGGTGGAGGTGGAGGTGGAGGTGGAGGTGGAGGAGGAGGTGGAGGTGGTGGTTTGACTTTGTCAAGCCAAGATCTCTGAAAAGGTCATTGAGGTCTGTTTGATTTGGGTAGTAAGGATTCCTCCCAATTTTGTTACATAGTGTTATGTGTGAATGTATGGTGAAAGCATTTCTTTCATTTTTTGGGTCACTCTGCCTTGGTGGGAGATGGCTGAAGTGTTAAAAAAATGATGAACAATAAGCTATGCTAAAGTTTGAAATAATCTCATTTTCTAAACAGATTCTTTGCAAATGTCAACTATACTTTCCTAAAAATAAGTTTCTGCTACATTTATTTACTTTCTAAAATTTAGAACAAAAACTTTTTGTTTTTATTTTTAGGTTACCCTGCCCACCAAGGCAGGGTAACCATTATAGAACAACAAAACAATGCTACATAAAAATACAATTTTAATGATATACTTGTGCAAAAGTGGTAGACAATCCCTATTCCCGAATCCACATCTTTGCCTCTGTGCCCCCTGATCTGAGTTGCAGACTTGGTGTGTAGTAATGGCTTGATGATAACATGTAGTAGCTTCATAAGAAAAATTAATAAAATAAAAGCATTACAACATGAGATCAAAGGAGTGATGCATGGCTAGTTGATTCATTCAAGTAGAGGCTTGAATGCTATAACTACCTCTACATAACGGACCTTGGAAATACGAAACAAAATCTGCTGGGTCAATTGATTTGGAAACAATGGACAAAGTCCGTTGTTTAAAGAACTGTCTATTATTGCTACAATCATGGTAAAACAACCTCTTCTCTATCCACTACAACTGTCATTACTGGCCACCTGTTCCCCCCCCAATTAGTCCATTATATGGAGGGTTGCAAACTGCAGGGCAGGCACAACACGCAGCTGGGCATGAGTACCATACTATATTGAATATGTCTCTACGTGCAGCAGTAAACATAAGGGACAGTAAACAGTCAGTCACTCTTGGGAGGGATGTCTGATCCAGTGTGACAACATTAATGAAGACCATAACTGTCATCAAAGGTTATCTTGTTAAGATATTTCATAACAGTGGGCTCTATAAGATATACACAGTACACAACTTCTTCATTATTTCTGTCTATATACAGTATACAATATACTGTACAATAAACTTCATTTAACAGACCTCCATTTAAGTGACTTAGGAAATACAGAATGAAACCCGCTGGGTCAACAGACTTTATAACAATGGACAAAGTCTGTTAACTGCAGAATTGTTCATTATATTTACGATCACAGCAAAACAATTGCTTCTGTATCCATCACAACTGCCACTGCTGGCCAGGGTTTATTAAATATACTTAAAGACAATCCTAAAGCGCTGCAGATCACTCATTATAAACGTGATATTGAATGTTCTTGCAATGATCGGTCTTTTATACCCAAGTGAGACATGGTGAACACTGCTAAGTTACTGATAACCTACATAACCTCATAAATAAAACAAACCAAAATGAGAGTAATAACTCACTTCCTCCATTGCTTTAAGGAAGTCCCCTTCCTGCTGTTTAGCCTCATATTCTTCTTGTCCTTTTCTTCCCATCTCTGCAAGACGTACTTGAACATTTTCTTTGTGTCGCTTGCCTCTCTCATGGAACTCTATGCTGGGCTTGTTGTCAGCAATCCAACATTTACAAAAGTCACAAAATTTCCGTGGATTTGACTTCCAGTATTCAGACCTGCAGTGTATAAAAATGCTGCATTAATTTCAGCACAATCTGATGCATTTCAAAACACTAGTTGTTCAACTGTCCATATTTTCACTCATCCAAATTCCTGTATTTGGACATTAACCCTTTCAGGGTCGGCGACCCACACCAGTCGATTAACACCCAGGTACCTATTTGCTGCTAAGTGAACAGGACAACAGGTGTAAGGAAATGTGCCATAATGTTTCCACGAACCGGGAATCAAACCCAGGCCCTCTGTGTGTGAAGCGAAAGCTTTAGCCACCAGGCCACCGGGGTCAAGGCTACTCAACTACTTTTATTTATTTATTTATTTATTTAGAAATTTTAGCATACATACAGAGGTACAAAAAAAATACAGGTAAGAGCAGCATGCCAAAGCCACTTATATGCATAGCATTACGGGCTGGCTTAAAATTAACTTAAGATTAACTAAGCAATGATGAAATCAGTGATAAGACATTATTGTAAACAGATAACTATAAAGCACAAATGAGTATTACAAAGACAGGTCATATGGTTGCATGCATTGCTGTTTATTCAGTAGAATGGAGTATTCTGTTAGGTAGTGTATTTAAAAAAAATAACAAAGTTAGATTGGGTCCTAGGTTTAACATTTATGTGATATAATTGTGAGTAACATTTTGGATATACAATTTATAAGGTTCAGTTATTCAGTATTTATTTGGTTTTGAGTGAGAAAGTGAACTTTGAGAAGAGACTTGAATTTATAAACAGGTAGTGTTTCTTTTATATTTACAGGTAATGAATTCCAGATTTTAGGGCCTTTTATGTGCATTGAGTTTTTGCATAGCGTGAGATGGACACGAGGAACATCAAAGAGTGATCTGTGCCTTGTGTTATGGTCATGTGTTCTGTTGAGGTTGGCAAGGAGATGTTTGAGGGGAGGGTTAATATCAGAGTTAAGTGTTTTATGTATGTAATAAGTGCAATAATAAGTATGGATGTTTTGTATGGTGAGTAGGTTTAGTGTTTTGAATATTGGTGGAGTGTGTTGCCTGTAGTGGAGCAAAGGTCCACTTGGACAAGTGCCAATGTATGCAAAGGTCCGGTTACATATACATGTATGACTAGTTTAGTAAAATAAATCATTTTGATATTGGAAATAAATATCTGGAGCATAAAAAACAAAAACTAGAAAGTCATATTTTAGATTTGAAAAATAATAGTATATAAATATGAAAATATTAATCAATTTATTTTAATAAACACAAAGGCTTGGTGAAACAGTTGTCCTCTGTATTATGAAATGTATTTACTACAGGTCAGCCATCACTAATCCAGAATCATTGCACCTGTGAGTGTGGATTAGTGAATTTGCCGGATACAAAAGTGGCTAGGTTAGAATACACTTAATGAACAGTATGAACTGGATTTTATGCTACTCTTCACTCATTTTCATCATGCTTTATTCCTACTGGTTTGTGCTCGATATTAAACAACATGCGACAATTTTGAGTCAGTATAAATTTGATGAAATCTGAAATATTCTAGCTGAAATTAGTGCCCGGATTACATGATGGAACAGGATTAAATGATTGCTGGATTAGTGATGGTGACCTGTACTGAATTTATCTGTATTTATTAAAATAAAAAATGTTTTACATCACCATCCACCCAAATTAGGAACATCCAGAATGAGGAAATTTTTTAATCTATTTGATTAAACATTGATGAAGATTTATCACAACACAATTCAAACTAAATACCCCACCAACGTACTTAGTCTAAAAGGGGTGGACACAGCGAATTAAAATACAAACTTGCTAACAAGAAATGATGGAGGAAACCTGAAATTATACCTTGCAAATTCAATGAAATTAAAAGTTGCACAGGGTCACCGAATTCCAGCCCATTCAGTGTATGCATTCCATTCAGATAGAATATGTATTAATCCCGCTCTTGGTTCCACCTGATTCTGAATCTTTGGGTATCAGTGTTATTTAACTACTTTCTCCTGAAGCCCGCAGTCCACTAGAACACTCAGAAGGTCCAAGATTTGGGCTTCCCGGGCCCCCAACTGAGTAGCCCTGCTCTAGGTATAACAATTTGCAGAAATTTTTTTTTTTTATATATATTATTTTTTTTTTACTGCTTGGCTCACCTCAAATGTTATTCACAAGACTTATTAAAGCCATATAGCATGACCTAATAGAATATTCAGTTTTCTTGTATTCATTGTAACTCATCTAATGACATATGTACTGTTACTGCCTTATTAATCTTAAGTTAGTTTTAAGATTGCCCAAAATCCTCTGCATATAAAGGTGCTTTTGGCATGTACACCCAGCTATTATATTCCTTTGTAAAACATGTATCATGTCAAAATATTTTTCTTTTATTAACACACTGGCCTTCTCTCACCAAGGCAGGGTGGCCCGAAAAAGAAAAACTTTCATCATCATTCACTCCATCACTGTCTTGCCAGAGGCAAAGTGCAGACACTGTACAGTACTTCCCATCTCCAGGACTCAAATCCGGCCTGCCAATTTCCCTGACTCCCTTCGTAAATGTTACCTTGCTCACATTCCAACAGCACATCGAGTCCTAAAAAGCATTTGCCTCTATTCACTCCTATCTAACACACTCATGCATGCTTGCTGGAAGTCAAAGCCTATTGGACACAAAACCTCCTGTACTCCCCTTCCTTCAACCTTTCCTAGGCCTATGCCTACCCTGCTTTCCCTCCACTACAGATTTATACACTCTTGAAGTCATTCTATTTTGTTTCATCCTCTCTACATGTCTGAACCACTTCAACAACCCCTCCTCAGCCCTCTTGGTAATCCCGCGCCTCCTCCTAATTTCCAAACTACGAATTCTCTGCATTATATTCACACCACATATTGCCTTCAGACACGACATCCCCACTGCCTCCAGCCTTCTCCTTGTTGTAACATTCACCACCCGTGCTTCACACCCATATCAGAGCACTGGTATAACTATACTGTCACACTTTCCCCTCTTTGCTTCCATGGACAAAGTTTTTTGTCTCCACAGACCCCTCAGTGCACCACTCACCTTTTTCCCCTCATCAATTCTATGATTCACCTCATCTTTCATACACCCATCTGCTGACACATCCACTCCTAAATATGTATCTGAATACATTCACCTCCTCACCCACAATCTTATATCCAATCTTTCGTCACCTAATTTTTTTGTCCTCATCACCTTACTCCTTCCTATATTCACTTTTAATTATCAACACTAACCAATTCTTTCATGGATTAATACTCTTCAAAACATGGAAATAAGTCATACGGTTCAATTATATTGTGTCCTTACTGGCTAAATTCCACTGTTAGATTCGTGAAATAGTAATGAATTTGGAATAAGGCATCTTCCTGGTAATTTCATACCCTGGTGGAGGAACAACAGTTCCTGGTGTCATTGTTAACTTATGCTAGGTAGACAGCATATCCCTATGATGCACTGTGTGGTCCCACCTAGTCTTAGATTTTTTCTTCAAAGGCAAGAGGAAGTTGTAATAAGAGTCAAAACGTTGAGAGGTCAAAAACATTGGCATGGGATGTCTTGTAAAGGACCTCAATGGAAATAAGTCACCTTGTCTGATTTTTTGGGTTATCCCAGGTTCTCTACACATATGCTGCTATGTATGATAACCTATGTAACTGTATTTGTGTATACCTGAATAAACTTACTAGTAAGGCACTAAAAATTGTACATGGTAAAATGTTGGACACAGTCATCACCTGCATACTAGCATGGTGGACATAGTCATCACCTGCATACTAGCATGGTGGGCAGTCATCACCTGCATGCTAACATGGTAGGCACAGTCATCACCTGCATACTAGCATGGACGACAGTCATCACCTGCATACTAGCATGTTGGACACAGTCATCACCTGCATACTAGCATGTTGGACACAGTCATCATCTGCATACTAGCATGTTGGACACAGTCATCACCTGCATACTAGCATGGTGGACACAGTCATCACCTGCATACTAGCATGGTGGGCACAGTCATCACCTGCATGCTAACATGGTAGGCACAGTCATCACCTGCATACTAGCATGGACGACAGTCATCACCTGCATACTAGCATGTGGACACAGTCATCACCTGCATACTAGCATGTTGGACACAGTCATCATCTGCATACTAGCATGTTGGAACAGTCATCACCTGCATACTAGCATGGATTGGACACAGTCATCACCTGCATACTAGCATGTTGGACACAGTCATCACCTGCATACTAGCATGTTGGACAGTCATCACCAACATACTAGCATGTTGGACATAGTCATCACCTGACATACTAGCATGTTGGACACAGTCATCACCTGCATACTAGCATGCTGGACACAGTCATCACCTCATACTAGCATGTTGGATTATAGTCATCACCTAATACTAGCATGTTGGACAGTCATCACCAACATACTAGCATGTTGGACATAGTCATCACCTGCATACTAGCATGTTGGACACAGTCATCACCTGCATACTAGCATGTTGGACATAGTCATCACCATGCATACTAGCATGTTGGACACAGTCATCACTGCATACTAGCATGGTGGATAGAGTTAAGAATTAATTTTAATTTAACACAATGCATATGTAGTGTTATATAGTGATCCATCAGTTTAAAGACTTTGGAATATGAAAAAATCCGGTTGGAACAATGATTTGTATCACCGAACAAAGTCCTTTGGTTGCAGATTGTCCATCATTATTTAATATCACTGAAAAGCATTTTATATAATCAAAAGAAGAAGCGCTAAGCCACATAGGGCTATACAGCCACAGATAACGCAATATCATTAGATTTAGTGCACAAACTAGAATTACTGGAAAGTCTTTACCTTATAATCCTTTAAATAAAGGTTTCACTGCATAAACTATTTTAAAATTTTCAAAAGTCTTTACATTTTTTAAGGAAAACGCCGTTTAAAATTTTTGGATGCTGTTGATGCTTTGACACCCTAGAAGACTGTATGGTATAATAATGTTATGCAGCCTTGTCACAGGTGATCGCAAATAAAAAGAAAGTTAAGATTACAACAGTTCTCTGTTTGACGGGGGTATGGAGGTCCTGGGGAAAGGTTGAGGAGAGCTGTTGGAGTGTGGTTACGTAGTGGTAGGGTGGTACAGGGGACTGATGGTGGCAGAGGGGTCACATGGTGGTAGGTGTACGTGGTACAGGGTGGTCAAGTGGTGGCAGGGTGGTCGCAGGGGTGGCAGGGTGGTCAAGTGGTGCAGGGTGATCACAGTGGTGGCGGGTGGTCCATGGTGGCAGAGTGATCCGTGGTGGCAAGGGTCACAGTGGTGGGGTTTGCAAGTAGGTTCATATGTTGACAACACTTGTAGTAACACAGCAAGTTGTCTGTGAGTGCAGCCTAGCATGTTGTCATGGGTTACTGCCTGCTCAACATTGTTGCTAAAGCTGCCTGTTTAACGCTGCCTGCTCAATCCCCTTCGTTAAGTTCCCGTAACGTTGCCTGTAAACCTGTTGCTTAATGTTGCCTGCTCAAGCTTCCTGCTTAATGTTGCCTGCTCAACGCTTCCTGCTTAAGGGTTGCCTGCTTAACATTGCTGCTCAACGTTTCCTGCTTAACGTTGCCTGCTCAACGCTCCTGCTTAACGTTGCCTGCTAAATGTTTCCCTGCTTAAGTTGCCTGCTCACCGCTGCCTGTTCAATGCTTCTCCCAAAACGTTCCCTGTAAACGCTTTCTGCTTAATGTTCCCTGCTCAACGCTTCGCTTAATTTGCCTGCTAAAGCTTCCTGTTCAACGATGCCTGCTAAAACCTGTCGTTAACGTTGCCTGCCAAAACGCTGTTGCTTAAGTTGCGCCAACGCTGTCTGTTTAACTTTCCCTGTAACACTGCCTGTTTAACGTTTCCCTGCTCAACATTCCCTGCTCACGCTGTTTTTTAACGTTGCCTGTAAACATTCCGTCAAGCTCCCGGTTCAACGCTTCCTCTCAACGTTGCCTGCTCAACGCTTCCTATTAACGTTGCCTGCTCAATGCTCCCTGTTTAAAAGTTGCCTGCTCAACGCTGCCTGCTTAAACGTTGCGCTCAACGCTCCCTGTTTAAACGTTGCCTGCTCAACACTGTTGCTTAACGTTGCTCTCAACGCTGCCCCCTCTTAAGTTGCCTGTTACATGTTGCTTAACGTGCCTGCTCAGCGCTGTCTGTTTAACATTCCCTGCTCAGCGCGTCGTTTAACGTTCCCTGCTCGAATGTCTGCTTAGCGTTGCCTGCTCATGCTGTGTGTTAACGTTGCCTGCCCAACGCTTTTGTTAACCGCCGCTCAGCGCTGTCTGTTAGTGTTGCCGCCCGGCTGTTGCTTAGCTTTCCCTGCTCAGCTGTTGTTAGCTTTTTCCCTGTCACGCTGTTGTTAGCGTTGCCTGCTCAGCGCTGTCTGCTTAGCGTTGCCGTCAGCGCTGTTGCTTGGGTTTTTCCTGTCAGCGCTGTTGTTTAGCTTTTGCCTGCCGCGCTGTCTGCTTAGCGTTCCCTGCTCAGCGCTGTTGCTTAGCGTTCCCTGCTCAGGGTCTGCTTAGCGTTCCCTGCTAGCCTGTTGTTTGGGTTTGCCTGTCAGCGTGTTGCTTAGCGTTCCCTGTCAGCCTGTTGCTTAGCGTTGCCTGCTCAGGCTGTCTGTTTTGCATTGCCTGTCAGCGCTGTTGCTTAGCGTTGCCTGCTCAGCGCTGTCTGCTTGGGTTTTCCCTGCTCAGCGCTTCTTTTTTAGGTTGCCTGCTCAGCGCGTCTGTTTAGCGTTGCCGCTCAGCGCTGTCTGCTTAGCGTTGCCGGCTCAGCGCTGTCTGCTTAGCTTTCCCTGCTCAGGCGTCTTTTTAGCGTTGTGTCAGCGCTGTTGTTTTGCTTGCTGTAGACTGTCTGCTTAGCGTTCCTACTCAGCGCTGTCTTTTTTAGCGTTCCCTGTCAGCGCTGTCTGCTTAGCGTTGCCGTCCGCTGTTGCTTAGCGTTGCCGCTCAGCGCTGTCTGCTTATTTTGCCTGCTCAGCGCTGTCTGTTTAGCGTTGCCTGTCAGCGCTGTTGTACTATATAACTGCCACTGAGACAACTTTTTTTACAAAAAATGTTGTTGTTCACTTGACAACATTTAATTACTCACAACAATCAATAATATACACACTAATAAACTTTTTATTAGTTGAACATATAATATACGAGAAGAGTGGCTTTGCATTTTATTTATATTACAAATAAATTGTATGATCAATGGAAATTTTTGACAGTGTTCCTTTATTTTGTTTACTTAATTGGAGGATTTTTTTGTTTAAAGATATTGAATTATATTAGCGGTAAATTTTTTGTTGGATAGGTTAAGTGAGCGTGTTGAATGGTAGTATAATAGGGTTTAGGTTGTGGGGTGGGTGATGTAGGGTTTTATAAGAGGGTTTTTGTTGTGGGTGGGAGCGAGATAAAATGCGTCCCTGCCAGGGTAGTTGTATTTTTTGGTTGATCGAGTGGTGGGGGGCCAGCCTCTGACCTACACTTTTATCCTCATTTGATGCCAACCCGCTCCTCTCTGTACCCAAGAGGCATCCCAAGATGGTAGGTTCACCCGGGGGCGCTGACACCCGCTCTAAAACTCCACCAAAAACCCACAACATGAAATAATGGTAATAGTGGGGAGGCTCCACACTCCCCCTGACTCCACAAAAATTATCTCAAACATGTGATAATAACAAAGGTTTGCGGTAAATGGGGAGATGACATGGTTTGTGCTGCCACCATACATAGCAAGGTTAAACATGGATTAGTAGCTTAGGGGGTGGGTCAGCCCCGGTAAGTGTGTTGAGGGGGCAGTGTTTTAAACCCCCGGGACGCTGCCCTCATTATATTTTAATTTACACTCTGTCTACAAATGTTAACTTGATATAAGTTATTACCTTCACAATACTGAGGCACAATATTAACTACTATTACCAACAGCTGACATTTTATGATGACTTAAACCTAGCACCATTATAACTGCTCAATAATTTTTTTAAAAATATTACTCCCTTAAGATCCTCTTGCCGTGCGGTGTGCCCCATACGGGTTTATCATGCTGTTTCAATCTGATAATTAGGATCCTGTGGCTAGTGTTTTATCATAGTTGTGGCCAGTAATTCTCTGACACTATACTGGATTTCTTAACTATAGTTACCCCCTCCAGGTAACTCCCTTTATGCAAGTGAAGGGCTCTTGATCCAAGTACTGATACATGGCCTCCCTTTTCTTGGCTAAAACCTGATTGCCTGCTGTTTCCCAAATGTTGGATGACCCCCCCTACAGGTTTGCACTTCTTCCAGGGAGTATAGATTAGGTCAGAAAATAAAATTTTTGTTTTTGACTTGACGGATTAGCCACCCGGGGTAAGATAATATAACCCGATAAAGTCTGTACGTCATCAGAGACTGTCTTCCATTGGGGTCCATGAATGTTCTCTTCTAGGATGTGACCCCCAACAGTTAGCGAACACCCAGGTACCTATACACAACCCGCACATAAAAGAGAGAAGCTTACGATGACGGTTCAGTCCGACTTGGACCATTTACAAAGTCACACTGTTACCCAGGTACCTATTTATTGCTAGGTTAACAGGGGCAGCAGATGTAAAGAAACGTGCTGAATATTTCACCTGTGTTGGAGAGCGATCCTGGACTCTCAGTGTGAGAGCTGACGATGCTACCAGTCGAGCCATCAGCACCCACACAAGCACTAATAATAAAATTCTCTACAGTAGCACTAATTTTGTTCAACATAGTTTTCCACTTATTTTTTTGTAATGCTAGTTACAGATAAGTGGGGCAATAAACTTCATTAGCATATATAGTTGGTATATGATGTATAGCTACTTTGTACCACATTGGTTTAGCTCATAACAGAAAGGACCCAAGTTCAATTCTAGGTGGGATGAGAAACATTGGCAAATCTCCTAATACCTGTTCATTTAACCCTTTGGGGGTTTCGGCCGTACTAGTACGGTTTACGTCCCTAAATTCTAGCGCCCTCAAATCTAGTGAGAGAAAGCTGGTAGGCTTATATATGAAAGAATGCGTCTTGTGTGGTCAGTGTGCACAGTATAAAAAAATCCTGCAGCAAACAGTGCGTAATGAGAAAAAAAACTTTGACAGTGTTTTTGGATTAAAACAGCGACTTTGCACTGTATTTTCGTATGGTATTTATTGTTGTATTCTGTTTACTTGGTCTCATTTTATAGAATGGAAGACATATTACAGAAATTGAGATGATTTTGACTGGTTTTACAATGAAAAGTACCTTGAAATTGAGCTCAAAGTAGCAGAAACTTCGATTTTTAAAAAATTTAAAAAAGAAAACAAATCAGCCAAGCGTAATAACTCAACTGGTGAGTCCAATATTTTTTTAAAAGTACGTGATATTTATTTTACCATTTCTACACTAATGCCTGTCTGCATAACAAAAAATCTTCTATTTTTTGTAAGAATAAAAATTAAAGTGGAAAGCCAAAGAAATATAAGAGGGGCATGGGTGTGATAACGAACAGAAAACGTGTTATTTTAGTGCCAGGAATGTCTTTTTTGTTTTGCGGCCCCTTTTTGGGAAAATTGGCATCTTTTGAAATTTGTGTAAAAATTGGAAAAAATTGCTAAATTCTGACCCCCTTATTGGATAGTTAAAAATTCAATTAAATTAAAGTTTATTCTTTTAAAAGGGTTTTACAATGTGGGGTTTACGGGTTTTTTGGGTATTGTGTGGTTACATGTTATAAAATACTAATTCAGAGGGGGCCCCTAAGACACCTGCATGGCTAGGTTTTTCGGGCAGACTTAGATTAATTCTTAACATTAAACCTTAAGAGAGATTAAGGCTAAGTGACACTCATAATTTGGGTTTAGCATTGGAATGCTTTTGTTTTGGGACAATTAAAAGGGGTTATATTGGGGTATATAGGCAAACTTATGACTAGTTAGGATTATTATTTTTGATTAAAAAAATTTGTTTTCTGGGTTTATAGTCGTGGGGGTGAGTGTAATTTCGAACCCCCAGTGGTTATCATGTAGTTAGTTGTCGGGGTGGTCAGGGAGATAAAATGTTTTTAAATGTAGTTTTTAAAGTGATGAGTGTGTCTGCGTTCTAGAGTTTTCAGGTAGGGTGTTTCCCGATTTTTGGGTCTTTTAAAAACATTGTATTTTTGTTAAGGTTTAGTCGAAACGGGGAATTCATGAGATGTTTGTGTTGGTGTTATGCCTGGGATCCTGTCACAACTATCAAGAAAGCTTTTAGGTCAAGGTTAAAATTTTGGGAAATTTAAGGTCCTGTAGATATAGATTGACAGTAGAAGTGTGGATGTTTGAACAGGGGTAAGTTTTTGATCAATGAAGAGTGGGGGGGGGGGTGTTTCAGGGTGGGATTTTGTGATTATTCTTACTGAGCTTTTTGTTTGGGTTATTATTGGCTTAAGGGGTGTTGCTGCAGTTGAACCCCAACCAGATGATGGTGAGGTATGGATATTTAAGTGAAGGTATAGGTGAGAAGGGAGTTTGCGGTTTAGTAGATCGTATCTTAGAGAGGATCCCCCCCGTTTTTTGGGTATTTAAATTTTTATGTGTTGGATATGGGTGCTGAAATTTTTGGTTATTGTTGAGGTATAGGCCAAGGAATTTGCCCCCATTATGCCTGGGAATTAGAGTGTTGTTGATCTTAATGTTAATTTGCGCAACTCCTGCTTGCTACCAAACATAATGTAGTAGGTTTTGTCAACGTTAAGCTTTAAGTTTTTTGGGGTTTGTCATCCAAGTCGATATTTTTGAGCAGCTCCTCGTTAACAATAGTGTTGGGGGTGGAAAGATTAGGGTGAAGATGACATAAGTCGTGTCGTCAGCAAAGAGAATGGGGTTCAGGTGTCGGATACGTTTGGAAGATCATTGATGTATATGAGGAAGAGCAGGGGGACCAAGGACACTTCCCTGCAGAACTCCAGTATCAAGTGGCTGTGTTGTTGATGCTGTCTTTAATGGTGACATACCGATACCTATTAGTAAGGTAAGATTTGAAATATGCAAGCGCATGGCCTCTTATACCATAATGGTCAAGTTTGTGGAGTAGGATGCTGTGGTCTACTGTGTCAAAAGCTTTTCTTAGGTCAATAAAAATTCCTAGTGGATATTCCTTATTTTCCAATGCTGTGTAAAGCAGATCTAGCATTTTTATAATTGCATCGTTAGTGCTTTTATTTTTCCAGAATCCAAATTGGCAGGGGTTGAGTATGTTTTGTGACGTTATAAAGAATTTAGTCTCCTGTGCATGAGTTTTCAAAGATTTTGGATAGCAATGGTAAGTTTGATATTGGCCTATAGTTGTTTAAATCTGTAGGGTCACCACCTTTATGTATTGGTGTAACCCTTGCCGTCTTGAGTTGTTTCGGGAAGGTGCTAGCTTCTAGTGACTTGTTAAAAAGCAATGAGATAGTATGGAGAGGACTTTGGGCCCCACTTCTTGTACAATAATGGTGGGACATGAGAGAGATTCCCTGAGTTTTTTTTAAAGTGACTTTATAATCTCGGTGACTTCCGTGGGTCAGTTGGAGCAAGATAGAAGGAATTTGGGAAAATTCCCATTAGGTAGTCCCCGGCATGGGGATTGGTAAGTGGGATTTTATTGGCGAGATTAAAACCCTATGGTTGAAAAGAAGTCGTTTATCTTGTTAGCTGTGTCGGGGGGTTTGCAGTGGTGTTTCATTAGGTTTAGTTAGGACAATATTCTTGTTTTTTTCAGTTTGTGGGTCCCTAGAATCTGAGAGAGGTTTTCAGGTCTTTTTTATATCTCCTCTTGTGTCAGTGAATCTGCTGGAGTAGTATTAGTTTTTTGGGCTTTCTTTATTACTTTGGTGAGGACTGATGAATAGTGCTTAGAATATCTTTGTGTATTAAGCCCTGTCTTATTGCTTTTCATATTGGTGTTTCTTATCAAAGGATTTCAGAATGGTGCTGGTTAGCCATGGGCAACCAAGCCGTTTATTTGTGATCTGTTTGTTTTTATGGACAAATGTTTGTTGTATAGTCTAAGTAGTTTGTTAAGAAAATGTCTGTCCAGTCGTCAATACCTTGGCCTTGGAGGGAAATTTTGTAGGCCAGTCAACAGTCTCTAGGTTTGCTGTTGAACTTCCTTATTTGAGGCTCATCATGGAGTCTAAATGAGACCCTTTTTTGTATTCAAGTGGTGGTTTACTAATGTTTGTCAAGAGGAGGTAGGGGAGTGGTTGTAGTGCTATCTGTGATTATCCCTGATTTAAGGGGGGGTAGTTATTGGGTCCATATTGTGGTCTATTATGGTTGCATTGTTTCGTGAGCCTGGTTGGTTTAGTTATTGTTGGTATGAGAAGTGTGTTTTTTTCATATTGTTGATGAAATCAGTTACAGGCTGATCATCTAGTAGGCCAAGGTTGATGTTTGAAGTCTCAGCCCAAGAGAAGGAGGTGCTTATTCATTTGTCTGTTTGTTATTAGTGCCTTTAATTTCTCACTGAAGTTTGGGATGTTAGTGTGGGGTATCCCGGGAAATGGCACTGGGTTGTTATAGGCGTCTTAAGGTTTTTTACAGTAAAATTAGCAAAAATGTATTTTCCATATTTATCACTAAAGCAATTGGTGCTGATACAAGATAATTGGTTAGAGTAAAAGATTGCAATACCACCCTCAACTTGGTATGGTCTGCAGTTGTGGATTGCTGTGTATCCTGGTAGAGGGTAGGTATCTATTGTGTCCTGTTTTAGCCAGGTCTCGGTAAGATAATGCAGGAGAAGGGTTTGGTTTTAGTGATTCAAGGAAGTTGGGGCCCGGAGGTCATCATAGTGTTTGCTTAAGGACCTGATGTTGTAGTTAAGTACTGATAGACTTTTTATCATTGTTTAGGATAGTGCTGGCTTGTGATGCTGTGTAGTAAAAGGGATTACTTTCCAATAGGTTTTGATTGTGGTGTCAGATTATGTAGGTTTAGATCAGGGTCAACATGATCAATCATCTTCTAGGTTTAAATTATGGTTATTTATATCCTGAGTTGTGTGTTGAGTTTTAGTACTGTATCTGTAGTGGTGGGAAGTTTGGACAAGTATATAGCTATAGCATTTTGGTCATGTAGAGTATAGTCACTAATACACATAATGAAGTTGGTGTTGTCTATGTGTTGTGCTGGATTTAGCTAAAGTACAACTAGGTATAAACTTAATAATATAAAAAAACAAATTAAAAATAGCACAAGACTCTCACTTGTAATTGCACTAAGGTCTAATGTAATGACTTTGGTATAGTTATGTATTGACTTAGAGTGAGCAAGAGTACAACTAGGGGTTTTAAAATAATAATGTAGAAATACAAAATTAAAAAAAAGTACCAGGTTCTCACTAGTAATTCACTATGGTCTAATATAATGACTTTGGTACTGACTTGTTTTTGAGCTAGAATGAGCTATAGTACAACTGAGTTTATAAAAAAGGCACAAGACTCTCATTTTAAATTGCCAAGGTGTTGTATAATTGTTTACAAGAATTAGAGTATAACTAGATTTAAATTGAAAATAAATATACAAGTTAAGGTGCAAAAAATAAAAAAAGTAGAAATAATATAATATATTTTATATAAAAATATATATTTTATATATATATATTATATATATATATATAAATATATATTATTATATAATTTTATTATATATATTTTATTTT